ACTGAGAGTTCCTACCTACTGAGGGACCTCTGCTCCATATGTTTACCTAACTCCTTCTTGAAGCTGTCCATGCTTGTAGCCGCGACCACCTCCTGTGGCAGTGAATCCCATGTGTTAATCACTCTTTGGGTGAAGAAGTACTTCCTTTTATCTGTTCTAACCCGACTGCTCAGCAATTTCATTGAGTGCCCATGAGTTCTTATATTGTATTGTGAGAAAGGGAGAAAAGGACTTCTTTCTCAACCTGCTCTATCCCACGCATAATCTTATAAACCTCGATCCTGTCACCCCTCAGCCGTCAGCTAAAGAGCCCCACGCGTTTTAACCTTTCTTGATAGGGAAATTGTTCCAACCCTTTTATCATTCGAGTTGCCCTTTTCTGCACTTTTTCCAATGCTATAATATCCTTTTTGAGGTGTGGTGAGAATGAGAAGAATTAAGCACTCGTCCCCCCACTGAAATCCACAGGATTTAGAAGTCCTTCATTTTTGCTTCGATCACGCCTCCTAGTTTCCTTCTGGGCGCCTTCCCTTTAAATCTCCACAGCTGACATCTCCCGTTCACTTCATTTTTTGATGTGCAAGCCGAAATAAGCCAAAGGAAACACTCCTTGCCCCGTGTAACTTCTCAGTCATATTTATGGCTTGGATTATACAAACCAGTAGCGTACAATACATCTGCAAAATGCATATGCCCTGTCACTCCATCTCCACAAATATTATCGCCTGCAGTCCTACACGCACTTAAAACGGAGAAGCCAATCCCACTGAAATAAATGAGATTTACTTCTCAGCAAAAGCGGTCAGGATCGAGAACGACAGTTAACTACTGAAGGACGAATGTTTTGGGTTGTGTCAGGATTCAATAAGTGGCTGGTGAACGTGTAAGCGGTCGGCAAAAAGAGACGTTTTTGCCAAGAGGGTGAAGACGGGCTTTGCCAAAAGTCAAGAACTCGGTGGAGGCATTTGGTGGAAAAAAATTTATTTCCACATTAGAGCTGCCTGCAGGCTATTTTAAGTGGTCCTACAAATGGGAGTTTCCAGGAGCCTCTTTAGACTTCTGAAATCTTCTGTTTGGTTTTAATATTTGTGCATTTCAGTATGCTTTGCTAAAAGCAGGCCTGTCCCCGATTTTTTTTCCCTTTTAACCCCACCAGCGATATTGTTAATTTTTGCAAGCAAGGGCAATATCCTGTTTGCAAATCTCCCAAATTAAAATCTGGTTTCACAAATTGCAGATCAACCATTCAATCAAACAGTAATATTAAGAAGACAGAAACAAAATCCTGACGAAATCAGCAGGGCTTTATTTCTCCCGGATAAATATTTGGGATTGAGCATCCCAAGTGCAAGTCATTCGGTTTAGCAGGGTGTGCTGTTTTTGAACCTTGTAGACATTTTCCATTTTCTTTCCCCCAAACCTGGGTAAGATCTTGGAGTCCATAGCTGAGATTTACAAGGAAACACAAATTGGGAGGGGGTAGAAGACATTTAAAACGGCCTTGCCAAGTAGCCCGGTTGTGAGCTCACTCCACAACAGAACAGGTTACAGGTCCATTGAGGAGGTTCATCAGTGTGTGTGTGTGGGGGGTCCCTCAGATTGCGAATTTCCTATGGGGGGGGAATGAGGCAAGAAGAGGAGTACAAAAGCCTAGTAAACGCCCCCCTTTCAATCGTTTCTTTTGTATCGGATGCTGGGGGGGGGGGAGGTGGCAGAGGGGAATAACTGGTTGCATGCCCCCAAGTTTGGGAGTCCAATGTTCCCTCTAAGCTGTGGAGTCTTGTGAACAAAAATTCTACTTTGTGAGCAACTTGCATTAGTTGTGAGCGAGCAATTTGGCTCCTGCATAATTTAGTTTGTTCTGTAGCCCTCCTTCCTGAGCTAGGACAAAAATGTGTGAGCCGGAGGCTAAAAAACTGTGAGCTAGCTCACACTAACTCAGCTTAGAGGGAACACTGTTTGGGACTGGGTAAATTTGGCAGTGCGACCCTGTGGTTACTCATGAATAAATCCCACTTGATTCCACCGGGCCCCCGTCGACAGGATCGCGGCCGAACCGGAGTCGCGCCGAGGGAATTCCTCTCCCCGAGCGATCCCCCCCCCCCAACACTTAATTCTCCGGCGCGCAGAGTCAGCGTTGGACGCCGCCGACACGGAACTCCCGACGCACGTCTGGTTGGGCCCCCCTCAGACCCGCGTCAGCATCCCATCCCAGACCGGCTACGCTCCTTCCCGGCCCCCCGAAGACGCCACCCCCGCAGGGAAACGTCTTCGTGCCAGAGACGAACGGGGAGGGCGGACGAACGGGAAGGACGCCCGGAGTGGGTGTCCAGGGCGTCAGAAAAATGGGAAGACCGGCCGATGCGCCCTCTAAGCGGTGGAGTCTTATGAGCAAAAATTCTACTTTGTGATCTACTAGCAATAAGTTGTGAGCGAGCGATTTGGCTACTGCATAAATTGTTCTGGCGCCATCCCTTCCCGAGCGAAGACAAAACTGTGTGAGCCGGAGGCTAAAAAACCTGCGAGCTAGCTCACACTAACTCAGCTTAGAGGGAACACTGGAAGACAAACACACACACCCCCCGCCGGCTTGCAAAAAGAAAGTGGAAGTCGCAGCAGGCAGAGGTTGAGTAGAACCCAGAAAGGGGGGTGGCGGAGGCGTTTACGCGGTGGCACTCCGGGGTTGGTGGCGACTCGCTTGCTTTCTTTGCAAACCCTCTGCCTTGCGGGTACGCAGACGTCCCTCTCCCCACAATCTCCGCGCATTTCGGTTTCAGGGCCGGAAGTTGAAAACTTGGCCGCGATGCCTCACCCACGTTCTCATTTGTGCGTGTCCCTATTGCTTTGGGTCCCCCCCTCCCCTTTTCCACCTGTGTTTACTCCCTCTGGGACCGTTAGACAGAGCAAAACACACGTGGGTGGGTGGGGACTGCAGTGTTCCCTCTAAGCTGAGTTAGTGTGAGCTAGCTCACAGTTTTTCAGCCCCTGGCTCACACATTTTTGTCTTAGCTCAGGAAGGATGGCCCCAGAGCAGACTAATTTATGCAGTAGCCAAATCACCCGCTCAGAACTTTAATGCCAGCAGCTCACAAAGTAGAATTTTTGCTCACAGGGCTACACAGTTTAGAGGGAACATTGGAGCACCCTGAAGCAACAGGGACGGAGGCACAAGAGATGAAAATCAGAACGCGGAAGAGAACGGTAAAAACCTAGCTGGACAATGCACTGAAAGTGGAGTGCTTGGAGCGTGTGAATAATGCCATTTCAATCCACTACAGCCGACCATTTGCAAGGGGCTGTTGCCATTTCGCACAGTAAACTCCCAGCTGCGAAGTGCATTCAAAGTGGCTGGAAACTCCTCTATTATTTAGCATGTGTGAAAGTGCTCCGGTCTAGCAAAAGATCCGAGAGGTTGGCTGTTTGTCCACCCCGGGGTCCTTACAGAAACGTTCCTCAATGCAAAATCGAGCTGGGGGGGAGCCAGGGAAGACCCCTCCCCAGCCCGAACGCCTCACTCACTCACGCCCTCCCCCCGTTCTGCCGGTGGGGAGGAGGAGTGGGTTTCTGTCCGGAGCCGGGACGGGCGCGTCCCTCGTTACCGCCGGGCCGTTTTGAAGGCGGCCGGGAGGGGCCCGCTCCGAGGCACCACGTGCTGCGCCGCCGCCGCCGCCGCTCATCAGCATAATGAGGCCTCTCGCCAGAAGCCGCCTGTCTATATAAACCACAAAACCCCCAAATGTTAGAAATCCCGGCCTCCCCAACGCCCGCGTCCCAGCGCTGGGCAAA